TGAGATTCTATGATTATAGGGGGGGCATGATTAAAGGCCCTATGTTTACTGAAGACAGCTACTTCTAGTGGCAGTGTTCACAATATTATTCTATTATCTTCAGGCTAACTTTTCACTAATGATATGAGAGATTCTTAATAAAAGTATTATCAAGGACAGAAAGGTGGCCCTGACTTTGGTGGCCAGCATCCTGGGCACAACATCCTCAGCAAGGAACATTCACTTGTAAGTACAATTCACAGGCACCAAGTAGACAAAACTGTAGCCACCATTCACACATGTATTACAACAGGTGAGGAGCCCCTGGCGTTTTAAGACACAGCAGTCCTGAGTATTAACAGCCACTTGGGTATTGGCAGCATTAGGAGCTTTTGTCATAAAAATCTAGTTCAGTAGAGGGAGGAAATGATGGATTTGGAACTTTATGAAATAGACAAAATAACCACTTTGGGAAAGATATCTGAACCAGTCATACAGAGCTACTTAAAGAAACTGAAAGGACTAAAAGTTTGAGAGAAAAACCTGCCCAAGCCAGATATGTTCTTCTGTAACATATTGTTGTGGCTGATTTTTACTCTGGAGTTGATGTGGATTAATAGGTGTGTATATTTTTTTAATTTTGAATCAGGTGTATCTACACATAAAATGATTTTTTAAAAGAATGTTCCCAAGGAATGTTTAAGCAGTTAATAGTTACTTCTGATGGCTCACGCCTGTAATCCTAGCACTTTGGGAGGCCGAGGCGGGCGGATTGCTCAAGGTCAGGAGTTCGAAACCAGCCTGAGCGAGACCCCGTCTCTACCAAAAATAGAAAGAAATTAATTGACCAACTAAAAATATATATACAAAAAATTAGCTGGGCATGGTGGCGCATGCCTGTAGTCCCAGCTACTCGGGAGGCTGAGGCAGTAGGATCGCTGAGCCCCGGAGATTGAGGTTGCTGTGAGCCAGGCTGACGCCACGGCACTCACTCTAGCCTGGGCAACAAAGTGAGACTCTGTCTCAAAAAAAAAAAAAAAAAAAAAATAGTTACTTCTGAAATTTGTTTGACTGAACACAATTTTTAAAAACCTCTTATAATAACACATGGTCATTAAAAAATTAAAATAATACAGAGGCATATGAACGAAGAGTATCTCCCATTCCCACCCCTGCCAAATAACCACTCCCCTAAAGGGAGCTAAGCATATACTTTCAAACATTATTCATAAATAGTATATATACTCACAAACAAACATACACACACACCTATAATTTTCACATACAAAAGAGATCATACTATATCTACTGCTCTTCTATTTTCTATTCTTCATTTAATTTCTATTGAAACTCTTTCCACATTAATGTATAGTGTTTTACTTCATTCTTTTTAAAGGCTGTCTAGTAGTTTATTGTACAGAGGAACCATATTTAAACAGATTTTTTTTACTAGTAAACACTTAGAGCACTTTTAATTTTTTGATCTTACAACAAAGCAACAAACATACTTGTGCATGTCTTTGCGTATTTGTACAAAGCATTTCAGTTAGGTAAGTTCTCAGAAGTGGAATTGTTTTATCAATGAGTAAGCCTATTAAAATGTTTATAATTACTGCCAAATTGAGTTCCATAGGTTGTGGTTTCCAAAAATTATTTTTGAACATGAGTGCATAGGGATTATACAAACCCCAATCCAGAGGAGACAAAATCCAGGATAAGATTTTCAAATAGGCACGGTGGCTCATGCCTATAATGCCAGCACTCTGGGAGGCTGAGGCCAGGAGTTCGAGACAAGCCTAGGCAACATGGTGAGGCCTGGTCTTTACAAAAAATAACAATTAGCTGAGCATGGTAGCATGTGCTTGTAATCCCAGCTACTCAGGTGGCTGAGACAGGAGGCTCATTTGAGCCCAGGAACTGGAAACTGCAGCGAGCTATGATCCTACCACTGCACTTTATCCTGGGCAAAAGAGCGAGACCCCATCTCAAAAAAAAAAAAAAAAAAAAAATTGTTCAAATAGAGATGGCCCATCCCACTGGAACTTTCCACTGGAAGGCCTTTCTCCAGGTTTACCAAGGGAAAGACAATTGATATTTGAAAGAGTCCAAATGCTGTAACAGAGGATTTCCAAGTGCTTGCCTGGATCCACTCTATTCTACCTGCACATTTTCCATATCAGAATATTCTTTTTCCTTCTTTATTTGCTTATTTGCTTTAGCTTTCTCAAGCCTAGATACTGTAATATGTATCCCTTTCACCTTTTGCTAATAAGAATACCCTTCCTCCTTTGGGAAACCCATTCCCCATTTTAGGTTGTTGTACTAGAGCCGACAAGGATATCATCTCATCTCCAGGGCAAATGGAATGGGCCTGTGATCCAGACCTGGCCAACCATGGTATTTCATGCCCCTTGTCAAAAAGTGACACACCTAAGACATGTCTCAAATCTAACCAGAGTTCTCCTCTGACATTTTAAATATGGACACTGAGAAAGAGCAGTCCTCACCGGTCTCTAAGATGGATGACACAAACCTGGGGCAGTGCACATAGCAAAGCCTGCCCCCTGGAGGAAGGGCAATTAAAATAGAGAGGCCAACCAAGACACACAAAGAAACAGATCTGAAAGATGGATGAAGACAGAGAGAAAGAAAAACCTGAAGAAGAAATTTGAGTTCCTATAAGTTAGGCACCTCCTAGTTAGATATGATAATACAGTATCTTTATGCTTAACATACTCCAAATTGTGTTTTTTGTCCCTTACAAACAAGAGGCACCACTAATATGGCTTTGGTCTCAGACTCGCTGGTTTATTTCCTGGCTCATTTCCTTCCTACTTACTCAGCATTCCTCTGTTTCTCAGAGTTTCAACCTTTCTGTCTCAGGATCCTGTCTTGCCAGGGCAGCCCCAGCAGTGATACTGGCCAGGGTTCCTGACATGAGCTTCTCTCCCTTGAGCTGGCCAATAAGGGGTGAATATCATTACTCCTGGATGCAGTGCCCCTTACTAGTTTGTGTGACCTGGGCTCTCATTTTCCAAATGGTATTATTGGATACACCTTGAACAGCACTAAATGTAATTCCAAACATTCCTGAACAGCTTTTGAAAATAGTGGATATACACTGGGAGGATCACAAAAGCTGGCTCACAAACCTTTGCAGTTGTACAATAAATGAAGTTGAACAATGGAATATTTTGTGTAACCAACAGGCATTTGGTATTGTGTTTCTAGTGTTTAGTTAAGGCTTTTGCCAATTTCATAATATCAGTGTAGTTTGTGTAGTCATTTCCTAGAAACCACATGACCTAGGATATAAATTTTTAGATTTTCCATTTTATTACAAGGAAAAAAATAACATTAAAAAAAGGAAACCATGTTTAATTCTACCATCCTAAAACAAACATTTCCTTCCAGTTTTCATCTAAATGTATTCAGATTTTTCTACAGGTGGGATGACAGTGATATAACTTTGTATTTTGCTTTTTCACTTGTATTAAAAAATATAAGTCCCCATGTTTGATCTTCATAAATATAATAACTATATAATATTTCCTCCAACACATATATAATTTATATGAATATATAACTGATATTCTCCAGTTGGACATTTTAGGTTTTTTTCCAAACAAACACTACAATGAAAAGTGGAGTTACCAGGTCAAAACCTACGAAAACTTCTTGCTGTCTATTATGTAAAATTGCTTCAGGAGTTTTCCTGAGTCACTCCTGCCACCAGCCAAGTGTATCTGGATGTTTCACTTATAATGTAGCAGTCCCTGTCTTTGGTATTATCTTTTTTTCCCCTAATATAATAGATATAACATGTTCTCTCTCAGTAGGCACAAAATAAATTAGAATCTGAATTTCAGAAAGAATTAAGATCTAAGAAATAAGATAAAAATAAAAGCTTGTAAACCTGAAAAGTTTCTACTTCTAAGTCTTTTAAAAAACAATTATTAGTATATACTATTTATAATTCCTTTCCCTCTGTCAGACACCATAACTTAGAGGAGAATGTAATTTTACATGCACCCACTATCCTACCAGTAAGGATTCTATTTTCACAGGGTACTAAAACAAGGATGCCAATTTGTCATTTTATACTATTTTTTAAAAGGGGCATATTTTACAAAAGACAAAACTAAGCAAAGGATAAAAGTCATAGAGGGAAAAACCTACAGATTTCCTTTGAGAGGTTTTATAGACAAGAGAAATTAATATTTATGAACCAACTGTAATTCAAAAACATCCCATCAGTTTCTCTTACCTTCAATCCATCTTTCCCAGGGCAAGCATCCAAACTCTAAAGCTCCAGGGTGCTACATTTAGGAAGCAGTAATAGGGTGAGGTGGGCTATGTGGCTCTCTATGTGGACTCTGGAGCACTGTAACTTTGGGACTTTGCCTAGGATGAGGAGTAGCTCTGGACTAGACTTAGGACCATGAAGGCTGATAATGACAGACAACTTTAAACAGTTGTGGTCAGACAATGGAGACTAAAGTCCTGAAATAGATTGGATACAAACTTGATAGACTTCTTTCAACTCCCAGCTCATTTATCAGAGAAATGAATGGAGTCTTCATAAAAGTGAACGAATGGTGGCACATACCTACCAATATGGTGACTACATTCCAAATGCCATCCCCTAAACTCTGGAATTTAAACCAGTCACCCTTAAATTATCTTTAAATATATATATATAACATTAACACACACACACACACACCCCTCATGTTTTTTAAAAAAAGCCTATTTCTAATGCAAATCATTCTAGAACTCAGGTTATTGAGAGGTAACGTGGGTGAAGTGCTTAGTGTATTCGATCCTTCAATTCATGCATCAAACTGATCAAACTATTAGGTGCTAGAAATTCAGTGGTGAATAAAGACAAGTCCTTGTCTTCTGGACACATTTTCAGAAGTAGAATAAAGAAGAATAAATAGAATACAATGAGTATAATAAAACTAACAAAATAATTAATGCAATAACAAAATATTGTGTTAAATCCCTGACAGGAACACACAGGACCTGAAATGGAGAAGTTGAGGAGGTGGGGAGGTCACAGACAAGACAGGCTCTTTGCTCTTTATCATATCTACCTCTTTTGATAGTGTTCTTTCTCCTCCCCTCCTACCTCTAGAGCGGCTGCAATGTCCCCAGTCTGCATATACACACAGGTGCACACATATACTCCCCTCTTCTGATAACCTAAGACTTCACTTAATATTAAGAGATTAGAAACTCCTACTTTAAACAAACTGCATGCCATAGTTATTCCTAGCAACCAACAATGAGGCTTGGCTATTCAAACTGCAGCTTGACTTTCCCCCCATCACCATCTTAGTCTATCATATTAACCAAAAAACTACTCAGCAAACGGCATTTGAAACAATAGCTGACTTTAAAGAAAGGGAAAAATATTTTAAGAAAGGAGCAGCAGTTACCTACATGTTTTTAAAGTGAGACAATTTTCTGCATTAGTACTTCCATTTACATTTGGTTTCCTTCCTTGAAGGTCGATATCAGTGTTTGCCATCAACTGGGACAATATGAAATTGACTCTCATTTCCCCTGACGTTAGAAATAGTCTAACTCTACTTCTCAATACAGTGCTCACCAGTTCAAAAGAAATTAAATAAATCCTACCTTAGAACATGCATGCAAAGGCTGCCTTCTGAAATCCTCTGGGCAAGGGTTCAGGAATCCCAGCAGTGGGGACCACACCAGCAAAATACACTGCTCCTGAGATAGGAGCACAAGGAGGAGGGGCAAGTTCTAGGCTTTGGCCCCCATCCACTCCCAGCTGTGTGCTTAATTAATGAGTAGGGCCAGGCATGCCTTGATTTCCAGAAAGGCCTCCTTGTCTTAAATGAAACCAAGAGTCATGATGTAGCTCTGCAACTTTGCCCCAAAACAGAGGTCTTCATTTTTCATTGTGGCAAAACTTCAAATACAATCAAGTCAAGGAGGAAGGCTCCAAAATCCCAAAGAACCTTCTTAGATATTTCTGGTCACAATTTAGGGAGATTCACATGAGATTTCCTTAATTGGACTCACTTGGGATAACTTAACCTGCAAGAAGCAAATGAATAGCATATTTTGCTTATTTTTAAATAATATGCAGTCATCAAGAATTGTAGTTGAGGTTGATCATATTAACTGCCTGGAGTTTTTGTTAAAAGATTTATCTAGACCTCTTACTATACAGTGGTGTGAGACCTGCACATTGACTTGCATTTTGGGGAAAAAAAGAAAATTTCCCAGGTGCTAATGTGCAAAGTTAAGAACCACAGAGAATAGTATGGTAGCATCTTTTTTTTTAAGTTTAATTTTTAGTTATGGATATATAATAGTTGTACATATATACAGGGTACATGTGATGTTTTGATAGAAGTATATAATGTGTAATGATCCAATAGGGTAATTGCAATATCCATCACCTCAATTATTTATCACTTCTTTCTAAGTATGTATGTGAATTGTAAATTATATGTTCAAAAAAAGTCTGAAATAATGTATACCAAAATATCAAATACCAAACCATAACTATGGTTATTTGTATGTGGCAGAATTGCATTTGATTTTTAGGTTATTTCTGCTTTTCTCTGTTTCTAAATGTGTCAAAACAATACAGCCATTATATTTAAGTTACTTATCACTTAAACCTTTCAGAAGACATTAATTAACTGCTAATATTCTGAAGAGGTCACAATTGAAAAACACATTGTTGCAAATATATCAAGACACCTTAAGGATTGTAAGAGGTGGTTTTCCAAAATTCAACCCAGAAGCACCTGTTTTCGAAGTTCTTAGCGGGAAATGAGCGAAAAATTTATCACGTCCACATCACACTGCATCCTGACACATCCCTGGATACAAATTTGTAGAGCTAACTGCTTCCTCAACATCTCCCAGTGGATGTGTCAAAAATATACCAAAGTTAACATGAAATCTTTGTCTCCTCTATACCAATTCACCTCCCACAACCTCCTTTTTCCCATTTGCTGAGCCAATAACTTAGGAAGCACCCCTGAGTATTCGCTTTCCCTCCAACAGCACATCCAAGCTGTCAACAAGTCCACTTTCTTCTATCTTAAAATAAATCCTTAGAGTTCCAGCCAGCCCTAAAATACACACCCCTTTACACACCTTTGTTCATTCTCTGCTGGTATAACAGAATATCTGAAACTGCATCCTCACATAACAGAAGATGGAAGGGCAAAAGAAAACAAAAGCCCTCCTGGCAAGCCCTTTTATAAGGGAACTTAATTCCATTCGGGAGGGAGGAGCCCTCATGTCCTAACCACCTCTTTTTTTTTTCTTTTTTTTTTTGAGACAGAGTCTCGCTTTGTTGCCCAGGCTAGAGTGAGTGCCATGGCCTCAGCCTACCTCACAGCAAGCTCAAACTCCTGGGCTCAAGTGATCCTACTGCCTCAGCCTCCCAAGTAGCTGGGACTACAGGCATGCGCCACCATGGCCGGCTAATTTTTTCCATATATATTAGTTGGCCAATTAATTTCTTTCTACTTAGAGTAGAGACGGGGTCTTGCTCTTGCTCAGGCTGGTGTCGAACTCCTGACCTCTAGCAATCCGCCCGCGTCGGCCTCCCAGAGTGCTAGGATTACAGGTGTGAGCCACCTCGCCCGACCCTAACCACCTCTTAAAGGTCCCACTTTTTAGTACTATCACATTGACAACACCTGATTTTTGGAAGGGACCCATTCAAACCATAGCAATATCCTTACAAATAAACAAACAAACATAAGAGTTATAAGAAATACAAATAAAATCTCACATGATCCATGCCTTCAACTATAGCAACTTCAAATTACTTGTAAATAAAGATGTAAACACAAAATTAAAATAGAGCTCCCATTGCCACTATAAGCCTATAAGTACAGAAAATTAGGGGAAGGAAGTTTTTAAATATTATGTGGAACAGAGAAGAGAACAGGAAAGAAGTGAGATTTACTAAGTGAGATTACTTAGAAAATGGAAGGAAGGAAGGAAGGAAGGAAGGAAGGAAGGAAGGAAGGAAGGAAGGAAGGAAGGAAGGAAGGAAGGAAGATAGGATAGATTTAAAGCAGTAATCAAAGGAAAATTCATAGCCTTAATTAAACCACCATATCAAGGAAAATTAAAAGCAAAAAAATCAATGAATTAAATCTAACTCAAAAAGGTAGGGGAAAAAACAAAGAAAAACTTAAGGTGGTAAATAATAAAAATAAAAGCAGAAATCAATAAAATGGAAAATAGAAAACTAGTAGCTCAAAGTAATACATTTTTAAAGAAATCAATAATAGACAAACCCTGGATTGTATTCTATATCTTGGCCAGACACAGTGGCTCACACCTGTAATCCTAGCACTCTGGGAAGCCAACATAGGAAGATCCCTTGAGATCAGGAGTTTGAGAACAGCCTGAGCAAGAGTGAGACCCCATCTCTGCAAAGAATAGAAAAATTAGCCAGGTGCAGTGGTGTGCGCCTGTAGTCCCAGCTACTTGGGAGGCTGAGGCAAGAGGATTGCTTGAGCCCAGGAGTATAAGGTTGCAGTGAGCTATGATGACAACACTGCACTCTAGCCAGGGCAATAGAGCGACACTCTGTCTCATAAAAAAAAAGAGAGAGAGAATCTTTTTGTTCTTGAAAAATATACACTAAAGAATCTTGAGGTAAAGACACATGATGTATGCAACTTATGACCAAATGATTCAGAAAAAAATGCGTATAAATATAGACATGGATATAAATTTGTGTAAATACAGACATGGATATAGATCTGTATTTGCGTATGTATACAAACACACACATAAAGAGAGGAGGAAGGGGTGGGCAAGACAGAGTATCAGTGAGATGAAACTTTAAGAGCTAGTGAAACCGGGTAAAGTGTATACAGCTTAGAGTTCTTTTTACTATTCTTGCAACTATTCTGTAAGATTGACATGATTTCAAAATAAAAAGATAAAATACATAAAGAAACCCTGTGTCCTGAATCCAACCACTTCTCATCACATCTCCTACCACATCCTAGTCCGAGCCACCATCTTCCCTTGCTTAAACTATTGCATTAGCCTCCTAACTGGTTTTTGCTCCTACTATCAATTTCCACACAGCAGCCAGAGTAATCTTTCAAAATCATGAATGCAACCATATTATTCTTCTGCTCAAAATACCCCCATGGCTTCCTATCACACTTAAAATCTAACTCCTTTCCAGAAGCCCCTCCACCATCTGGCCCCTGGCTACATTTCTAACCTCTTCTGCTGCCAGTCTCAAGCACATTTACTCTGGTCTTACCACATTATCCTTCTTACAGCTACTCAAAAACATTAAGTTTGTTCCATCTGCTCCGTCTTTGCACTCATCGTTCTTTCTGGCTAGAATGCTCTCCCCTCAGCCCTTCAGAGGGCTGCTCCATCCCTTCATCCCAGCCTCTGATAAATGGCCTTCCCTGATCACACAAACTAAAAAAGCAGCCCCATCACTCTCTAAGCCCTCCCCCTAATTTAATTTTCTTCACAGCACTTTGGACATGTTTCATTATATTATAATAATGGAATAAGAAATGAGCACATCACATTAGTAAATAATTTGTTAGCCAAGTTTTAATGCTATAATATATCAGGGACAGTCATTTTGTTAACCTTGTAATCAGGACCTCTACCTTTGGCTTGAACAAAGTACAGTTTCACATTGACAACTTCAGGTTTTAGAATGTCAAGTACTATGCGAATTCATTCATTAATTTACTAATCAATTTAAGTAATATGTACTGAGTATCTACTATGTGTTGGGTACTATTCTGTGCACTGCAAATACAATAGGGAACAAAACTGAAGAAAAAAAAAAATCCCTGCCCTCATGAACGTGAGGAAGTCAAGCAATAAACCGAACAAACAAGTAAAATACAAAATATGTTAAATAATAATAAGAGTCACAAAGGAAAGGAATAATATATAACAGGAGGCTGGGTGTGGTGGCTTATGCCTGTAATCCCAGCACTTTAGGAGGCTGAGGCAGGACTGCTTGAGGCCAGCAATTTGAGACCACCATGGGCAACATAGAGATCCTATCGCTACAAAAAAAAATAGAAAAATTAGCCAGGCATGGTGTGACCTGCACCTGTAGTCCCAGCTACTCAGGAGGCTGAGGCAGGAGGATTGATTGACCCTAGGTATTCGAGGTTACAGTGAGCTACAATCAGGCCACTGCACTTCAGTCTGAGTGAAAAAGCAAGACCAGTCTCTAAAAAAACAAAAGATAAAACAGAGTTAGTTTGGGAGGTGGGAGTTGATTTAAGTCAAAAGAAGATCCACTAAGAATATGGCATTTGCTGAGACCTAACAGGTAAGATAGCAAGCCATGGAAATATGTGAGCATGGTAGGCAGAGAGCACAGCAAATGCAAAGTCTTTGAGGAAAGAATGTGTTTGGTGTGTTCAAAGCAGAACAAGTAGGCCAATGTAGCCAGAGAGGAATGAGCAACAGGGAGAATGGTTCAGAGAAAGATAGAGGAGGCAGACAGGGTAAGGTCCAGTAGGCCATTTGGGAATAGACCTTGCAGGCCTTTGTGAGGACTCTGAGCTTTACTCTAAGTGAGATGGAGATCCACTGGAGAATTTTAAGGACTTATTCCTAGGCCTCTGTTTTAATAGCATTGTGCCCACTGCTATTTTGAGAAGGGACTGCAGTGGAGCAAGAGAGGAAGTAGTGAGACAAGATAGAAGGATTTTAAGTAATCCAGGCAAGAGAAGATTATGGACCTAGGTGGTAGCACAGAAGAGGAAGTAACAAATATTGAAGCCTGCTGCGGAGCCAATAGGATTTACCAATAGATTGAATGGATGCTGGGTGTATGAGAGAGAGATATCAAAGACAGTCCCACGATTTCTGAACTAAGCAACCAGAAAGATGGAGTAGTCATTAACTGAGATGATGATGCTTCTGAGAGGAGTAAATTTGGGGGAAAGATCCGGATTATAAATATCTTACAAAAATATACTTTTCTGTGATTGAATAAAGCAGAACTTTCCTGTTAATGAGCTGAATGGATTAAAGATGCACTGAAATAA